TTCCTCAGCTCCTCTATTTTTTTATCTGTGTCCTCTCTAGATTTATTAATCATGTCTTATATTATGGGCACAATCTCTGCTGTTATCTGAGAAATTATTTCTGATTTCATTTTTTCCAGGTCCTCTTTTGTTACCCATTCATTGAGTCCAGATGGTTGAGTATCAGATTGTTTCATTTCATTGCCCTTTGGGGTTGCCTTAGATGATCTGGAAGTCTGTTTTTGGGACTTATTTATATGTCTTCTCATTTCAACATATGCAGCCTGCTGTTTCTTTGTTGAGAGTACTTTTGATCACCCAGTGGACTTTAATTCTCAGCAAGCCACTGAGCAGCCTTTACTCTGATACTCATAAGTACACTAATTCCTGGGTTCAGAGTGGTAGCCCTCTGGATCCCTGAGCTGACCTGCTGTCTGGGTGGGTTTCTGGCTGTGGCCTGTGCACGCTTCTGATATTATCTAGGCATGCCTCTGGCTGGGCCTCCTATGTAGCTGTTGTCTGGGAGGGCCTTTCGTTGGGGATTGTTCACCCCAGTTCCTGTTGTGTGCTTTGGCTAGGGTCGCTATGCACTTATCAGTGGTATTGGATAAGCCTCTGAGTTTTGCTTTTGTAACTTTACACCTCTCTCTACATGGATCCCTGGTGGTGGCTGATGGTATGGTGGCACTCTGCTTGAAGCTTGTGTGCCTGTACAGCCCCTTTCCGGGTGGGCTTTTGGCTTGGGCAGGTGTGCCTGAGCCTTTGGGATCTGGGTTGATCCCTGGCCGGGATCTGCCCGCAACCACGCAGATCTGGGCCACACATCTGCTCCCTGGAATTCACTGATGGATTAGCGCATTTACCTATGGAATGGCGGGCCTCTGGAGTAAGCCCATGTGCCTGTGTAGCTCCTCTCTGGGCAGGCGCCCGGCCAGATATTATGCAAACACATCCCTTGGGCAGTCCCCCAGAGATGTGAATATTGGACATATACTCCAGTCTTATTTTCTCTTCAGAGACAAACTGTGTATTGAGAGTTTTTCCTATTGTTTCATGACTCTCAATACTTACCAGTCCATACCGCTTCCTTTGTTCTCAGTGATTCCTAGGCATCTAGAGTATGCTGGTTCTGACACTTCTTATGGAATCCAGTCTCTGAATCAGCTCCCTCAAAAATCCAGAGTGCTGGATAGGTGCTTTAAAACTTTCTTACCTGTGGCTGGAGCTGGGATTTGAGGCTTCTCACCTGGTAGCTTGGCTGAGCTGGTAGGAGGACTTGTGACCAATCACTGTTTGTTAATCCAAACTGTAGCCTTTGTTCTCAACGCTTCCCAAACTGGGACTCTTTTCTGCCAGCTCTGAGTGTGATGAGACAGGTATCAGACCTTTAGGTAGTCCCTGGAAAAATGAGTGTATTAGATGTTGTCTGTGTTACTTTTCTCCTTACTGAGACAAAATACCTAACTCTCAGTGTTAAAGGAGGAAAGGTTTCTTTGGCTCACAATTTGTAGAGATTTCAGTCCATAGTCAGCTGGCTCCCAGGCAGTGTGACATTTTAGAGAAGAATTGCAGAGGAGAAATAGTTCATGCCAAAGCAGGGCAGGCAGCAAGGAGCAAGCAAGCAACAAGCAACAACACTGGACCTCTTTCTGTCCCTTATATTTTATCTAGGCTACCTTACCCCTTAGGGCGGGTAGCACTCACACTCAGGGTGGGGAACCCTTAATCCTACCTATAACTATGCCAGACCAGTCAGTGGACTAATTAGTAATCATATACCCTTGATCCCAGCATCAAATGGTCTAGATCCAGCCACCCAAAGCCCCACCTATGACTGCATGAAGCTTTGTGGGGACATCTAGACACAAGCCATAACAGATGTACAGGTCAGTGTCCCCTTTCCCTCAGGAAGAAGCTGAGAGCTGAGCATTTCCTCCTTTTCATGTGAGTTTGTTGGGAGGAGGGATCATTAGCAAGAGGATGCCATACCTTTTCTGCCTTCTTTAGTGTGGTTGGTTTCATGCTCACTTATGGTGCAGGAGCCTCTTGCCTGGTGACTTGATGTCTCCCAGAAGGCATTGGTTCCCTCTTATTGCTTATTTCTTTATCTGTGTAAGAGCAAATCTATATTTCTATAGTATTTGGCATCAACATAGATTCTTTGAGAGTGTTTAAATACTTTAGCATTAAGAAAAAGTGAGTGAGAAAAGTTATCCTTCCTGCAATTTTACTACTTGAGAGTAGCAAAGAGTATTTCAGGGAATTTCACTACAATATTGAAATTTTTTCTTTCTGTATTAATTTTGGCACCCTGAAGTTACTTAAGCTATAGTCAGTCTCCTTTTCTAATTGGTACAAATTCCTATCATGAGTTTACTGTGATCAAGTCCCGTACACCAATTATAGACTGTTTTCATTGAGTTCTATTCTGTGTATAGCACATGCTATTCATAAAGAGGGTTTTAGATTGATTTTTTTCCTCCCATTTTCTCTTACATTGTCCACCCTGACCACTAGTCCCATCACTCTGTATTTAAGGCTGTCTTTGTACTTATTTTAGTGTTCAAGTCAATTGTATTTCCAGCTGGAGACAGTCTCATGGCAAGAAATTAAACTTTTTTGTGTATGTTTCATGTGGCAGCCAGATTTTAGCAATGATACTGACCTTCTCCTTTGGTTGGCCCAGTTGTGTTTACAAGAAGCTGGCCTCTGCAATAACTTTGCTTTACTTGGCCTTCTTTGGAGCATGTTTTAGGAGCAACTTAATGAGTTTAGTTTTGAACATGCTGAATTGGAGTCAGGGCTATTGAATTTATGTTTATAATGACTAAGAGAGCAATTTGGACTGAAGATGTAGATTTGGTAAGCAAAGCTTCCATTTAGTATATTGAGTTACCCAGGAAAAGCATGTGAAAGTGAAATAAATGAGGTTAGGCACAAAACCCTGGAATTATAGCGTGTATGGAATGGGTAGAGAAAGAAAAGCTAGCCAAGGTTACTGTGAAGGATATTTCTAAAGCATAGGATGAGAACTTGGAAAGAATGGTTCTATGGAGCCAATGTGGCATCTTTAAAACACTGTCCCTAGTATTTCGGTGAATTCAACTAGGGTAAAGATAGGTGAGAATTTATTTGCTTGAATGTCTGGAAATTACTGAAGATCTTACTTATAGCCCTTTCAGGATGAGTACAAATCAGTTAATAGTTGATTGAAAAGTAAACGACAGGTTAGAGCATGATCTAGGAACTTAAAAAAATTTTTTTTTTTTTTTTGGTACCGGGCATTGAACTTGGATCCTTGTGCTTGCGAGGCAGGCGGTGGAACCACTGAGCTAAATCCCTGGCCCTAAAAAAAATTTTTTTGTGAAGGGAAAAAGGCTGATTGGTACAGAGGATAGCTGCCTGTGAATTAAAAGTGTGTTGTTTTATGTATGCACCCTGTGTAATAAATAGATAAATTTTTCAGGCTTCTTTTTATTAACATTTTCTATGGGAAGAATTACCTTTATATTAAGCATTTTTCAATTTTTAAGCATAGCTCTTTTTATGATCGCTTAATCAATTCTTAAAGAAGAATCGGACACTGCTTAGTATGTCAGGTCTATTCGTCCCACATACTGAGTTCTAAGTGTGTATATCAGCTCAAGCACATTGATGAAATTTTTTCCACAAAATACTACCTCATCTGTTTCTCATTTGCTTTTAACTCAAATTTGGACAAGTGGGATACAGTATAAGAGTATAAAGCAATACCTGTCTTTAAAACAGCTTTTTCAGAAATTCTCCATTACTTAGTAACCAGTCTAAGGAGTATTATTTTATCAGTTTTATTACCAAAAAGGCATTAGTTTTAACATTGTCTTTTTGAACTAGTAATTTGTCTTTTGGAAATCCTTAGTATGATATACTGTTTGTGAATGAAATCCTGACATGGTTTGTGGTTGAAAGTAAACAGCATTAATTCATTATACAGAGGGGATAGGTTATCCGCAGATGATAGGTTCCAAGACTTCTGAAACTGTAAATAGTACTGAACTCCACATAGACTATGATTTTTCCTATGAACACATACTTGTAATAATGTACAGTTTATAAATTAAGCATCATAATATATTAATAATAAGAAAATAAGACAGTTATAGACTTTTATAAAAAGTTATTTAAAAGATTTATTTTTGTTATTTTTGGAATTTTTCACTTACTATTTCTAGACTGCAGTTGACTGGGGTTAACCAAAATTGTGAAAAGCACAACTGTGTGTTTGTGGGGGGATCCACTCTTGTAATGGTCAGTTTCCGTTTCATGTATCTTGAAGCAGCTGTTTAGACAATAAGTATTCATAATCTTGGGGCTTTCTTTGAAGTAGCTTGAATTAAAACATATGAGAGACTACAGGCTGAGCTCGTATATTTGAGAATGGTATTTTTGTTCAATATTTTTTATAACAAAAGAGTCTTTTTGGTGAAATCTTTTTAAGCCCGTTACCTGCTTATCCTGTACTTTTCACATTTTACCTTTATTAACATGATATTTTTAAAATCAAAGACTTTGAAAATCTTTATTTTCTAACGTGACTTCATATTAATTAAAACTTGAAGCTAATGAAAGTTTTATTTTGTATATTTGAATGTTTTATCTTGAATCCAATAAAATTTGCTACGTTTCTTTAAAAAAATGATCTTATCAGACTATATGGTTCATTTTTGTCTCATCCTACACTTAGGAAAAAGGGAAAAGAAGGGAGAAAGATTTAAATATATATGGATCATTGTTGTTCCACTTAAAAACAACATATTGTTATTAGCAGGTATGCAGCATTTATGTGATATTTTATTTTGATTTAATCTAAATGAAGTAAAATGTGAAAAATACAAATGGTTATTATATCTTTTCTGCTTTTGAATCACCATTAATATAAACTATCATCTAATTTCCAAAAGAAAAAATAATAATCCTACATCAGAATACTCTGTGTCCTCTAAATTCTCCAAATTTTGATTGTTACCACTTTGGTCTCTTAGTATAGAACAGTACACTGGGAAGCTGCAGACGAGATCTCACTGTATGAGTCCAACTTGCAAGGAAGATGGACAAAGTATTATTCCAAAGAATTGTGTAAGATCAGATTTCACTTTTGTTTATTTTTTGGTTTAAAATGTCTCTTCATAAAGTTTCAATTTCATATTGTTAAAGATCCAGTAATTACTTTAAAAACTGAATAAAGTCTGGAGATTTTTGTGAACATCTTGATGTTAAAGATAGTGGTTTGGTTGTTATATTCCATTATTTGCAGTAATTCTGAGGTAAACTAATCAGTCTATCCTTTCCCCTGTGCATATAAGCATAACTTTGAGACTATTTAAAAAATTTTCCTTTCTCCTTTTATCTAGAATAATGAAGCAGATAACCCAATGGTCATAAAATTGAAAAGAAATTGGGATTAACTTGCAGTGAAGTAGGAAGTACTGTTTTTCTGATGAAGTTAAATTATTTATATTTTCAAAAATGAATGCCTCTCTTGCATTTATGTGCTTAATATAGATTAGGTTTGAACAAAATTTGTAATGAGGAACTGTACTTTCTTACTACAGTCTTTATTGATTAACTGTGGCTATCTTGGATAATGTGATTTTTATTTGCAAGAGGGATCATGTATAACATATAACTATAGCACATATTGCTTTAAAGTAATTCGTTGCATTTTCTTCCGTGATAGTTTGGGATCTGTCATTAAATAAAACTTGATATAAAGGGCAGCCTAATTTTAATAATGATTGTATAACTATAATCAATACATTTACTTAAGGCATTTTATTTAAGATGTTTTTATTCAAGACGTTTTTATTCACAAAAACCTAGAAAAAGCAAGGACCACCAGTAGAAGTGGTAATGAATTTTAATATAGTATATAAATAACATAATCTTAATATTTTATTGAATAGAAATGTGGAGAACCAGTAAAATAAGCAGAACATTTAATTTGTTATCCTTCATCACTTCATATTAATTTAAATAGTCATAAGTTTATTCATTGGTAATGAGGCTTTTGAAAAGCATGAAAATGATGTGTCAACAAATTTAATTTCAAAATATTACTTTTGTAAAGAGTCATTATTGTTTTATACAGACTTACCTTTCTATGCTTTTAGAGCTTTCAGGTCTAGGCACAGGTCTTAGGTTTTCTTCAGTTAATTACAGTTTTAATCTGGTTGATAAATATGTAATATAATAAATTATACAAAGGAAAAAATGAAATTTTTATTTTTTAAAAAGTAAAGAATCACCGTAATTGTGTTTTCATGATGTGAATCCAGAGCTTATTACTCTTTCTTTTCAGCATATGAGTGGGAATTAATTTAAGAACAAAGAGCTTCTTGGATATCAACACAAAACTTCCCTGTTAACTAATTTTAACCAGAGCAAATAATTTATCTTTACAAGTTTTCCCTCCTTCTGCCACTTGCAAGCTACTGTGGTGCACCACAATTAAAACTTCTTGTGAAAGAACTTACAGAAAGGAGTCTGGATTAATTTTTAAAATATTCTTTTGATTTACTTTGAAATTTAGTTAATGTGTGAATATATTGTTAAGGCAGCCCATAGCCTTAAGCAGCTGTAATAAATAGTCATTAGTTAGAATTGAGAACTTTAGCTTAGTTGTAACATAATCCTTTCCTCTGAGGGCAATATAGCATTACCAAATAAGTACACAAAGTTCTCATTGCTCTGACTGACATATATTTTTCTTGTTTTCCTTTCTTCCTCTTTCTTTTCTTTTCTTCCCCATTTTTATTTCTCTTCTCCTTCCTTCTTTTCTCCCTTCCTTCCTCTCTGTTCTCTTTTGTATTTCAGGAAATTCATTCGAAAAAATCTCCTGTTTCTTTGGATGACAGTGACATTGAAGCTCGCCTTAATAGTTGGAATCTTGGGGTAAAATTTGTTTTATGTACATATTAATGTGGCAGAAGCATATTGTATTTGGATAATATGTGAACTATTTTAATTCTATTCGCCAAAAATTGGATGTTAGACATTTAGTATTTTGTTGACTTTGAGAAGAACTTTAAGTATGGGAAAGAGAAACGATGTTCCAAAGAAATATGAAATATTTCTGTCAAAGTCCTTGACAAGCTAACTTTCTTACTGAGGAAGTAAGAGATATATACAAAAATAGTTAAGTAATAACTTAAGATACAACATATCATAAAATACCAAAACAAGTTATATGGAAAGTAGAGACAGTCAAGCATTTCTTAACAGGGGGATACACTCTAAGAAATGTTTCAGTATGTAGTTTTATCACTGTATGAACATCATAGAGTGTACTTACACTGACTTAAATGGTATAGCTCAGTTATTTAATGTGGGCCTTTTGATCCAATCGAGATGAAATAAAATGTTAGATGTGTGACACTGCTACTGGCCTAACATGGCATATTATTTTATAGTAAATTTTTAACAAGGAGGAGTACACTTTAAAATAATGATAAAAAGTATGACAGCTGTGATGTGGAGGGTGGAAGTTTTTTTTCAGCTCTGTTATAATCTTACAGGACCACCATCATACATGTATTTGTTGTTGATCAAGACATAAATACGCAGCATATAAATACTAAGGTGGATGGGAAAAATGGGGAAAAACATGGAGAAGCAAAGTAATTCAAGAAGGCTTCCTGAAAGAGAAGCCATTATGATCAGTAATTTATACTGTATTTTATGTCCAAAGGCTGAGAAATACAGTATTTTGATGCATAAAAATGAGGAGAAGAAAGAATTTTGAGGCCAAAACAAGTGTAAGGAAAAAGATAAGGATAAGTGAATCATTCTGCCTGTGTCTTTGGGATTTATATATGGAATTAATTGGCAATGTTGTCAGACTGTATTGTATTGGAGCTCTGGGTGCTAAATTGAAAAGTTTAGCTTTTAAATTTCAGGCTATATAGAGCAGTGAGCTCCCCCTCCACATTCCTGTTTATATATAAGCTGTTTAAGTACTTTGAAGAAATTGAAAAGGATATAAAATGGTTTTTTTAGTACTTTGTGAAAACTACAGAAAATCAGAAGAATAAAATGTTTCAGGGCCGGGGATTTAGCTCAGTGGTGCCGCCGCCTGCCTTGGAACTGCAAGGTTCTGAGTTCGATCCCCGGTACAAAAAAAAAAAAATTTCAAAATCTTATCCTGAGATATGTGTTAACATTTTGTTATGCAAGTCAAGCATGCCTTACCTGAAAACCATTACTTAAAAATCCAGTGGAAATGCTTCAGAGTCCAAAACTTGGTGAGCATCTCTGCACACAAAATATTTTGGATTTTGGATTAGGGAGTATGCATTTTGTAAAACCTATGCAAATATTACAAAATCTGAAGAACTCCATAATCTGAGTATCTCTAGTGCCAAGAATCCCGTGTAAGGGATACTCTATGTATATCTTTCCTTTTTTGGTATAATTTTATAAAATTGAACAAAGTTGGGTCATATTATAAATGCTATATTATGTGTAATTTTGAATTTTTTATGTCAGTAAGAATTCAGTAAACATGGGGTAGCATTTTTCTTTTGGATAGATAGTCCATAATTCTGCTACTTTTGAACATCTAAGTTGCTCCCAGTGTGTTGGTAATGTAAATAATATAAATACTGTGACAAAATTCATTACAAGTACTTTTATTCATATTTATTTGCTTAGAATTACATTGTCTTCCAGAAGGTTTGTACCAATTTAACTGAAGTATTTATTACTTGTCCATTTTATACTTACTCTCTTGTATTAGGGAATATTATTTAAAAAATCGTAAATCCTTTCTACAAATAATAGCTTTTTTTTCTTTGAGATGAAGTCTTCCTGTGTTGCCCAGGCTGGTCTTGAACTGGTGGACTCAAGCTCTTTCTACTTCAACCACTAGAGCAGCTGGTATTATAATGGTCTAATAAAAGCAGTGCTTTAGGAAAATTGGCTGGGTGACATTATGAAGGTTAGATTGGACACGAACAGAAATGGACAAAGGAGATCAATTACTTTTTGAGTGTTGTTAGTGAACTCTATTAGTATGATGGCTGTGAAATTGGAAAAGATAGACAGGAAATGGTTTTAAAGAGTAAAGGATACTCTGTGACTGATTGAAGGGCTGAATTGAAGGGGACCTAACAGTTTGCTTGAGAAATGGAAATATTATTAGCTGTCGATTAGTTGACTGTCAAATGAGGGAACCATTTTAGAGGTTTGAAGTTTTATTTTAGATAAGTGGAGTTTGATGAGATGATAAAATTAGTTGCAGATTTCAGGGCCTAGAGCTTTGTGAAATTCAAGGCCTAGAGGTACTTTGGAGTTACACTGCTGTAGGGACCAACCTACAAGTTTATCCCTTACTTGGGGGACAGATGAGGATGAAAGACAAAAGACACAAAGAAAATTTTGAATGAGAGGCCAGGGGACTCTTTGTCTCTACTGGACAAAAAGCCATGAGCATTTGGCTCACCTCACTTTTATTCACTTAGATATGAGAACAAACAGATTAATAGAAGATTTGTCTGCCTCTTGTTATCTATAGCATATACCCAGGTAGATATCCAGATCTCAGCTATATTAACTCTTCTCTGGAACTTGCAACATGCTAGCATGCCTGCATAGTGCCACAGGAGGCACAGCTTGCTGTTTTTCTCTTTTGTGCTTACAGAGAAGGTCAGTTAGTCCTCTGTCCTCATTATCTAGTCTTCTACATTGCCCCCTTTTTGTTTTTGTAATAGCAGCATCTAAAATGAAGTGAAGTGCCTGTTTTATATGTTGTTGGGTACCTCTCCTGAGGTGGCAGAGTATGAACAAAACAGTGAGACAAATAATTAGGAATCCAGGAGCCAGTCCCAGCACCCGGAAGGAGACTTCCCCACCGCCATTCCACGCTCCTACGGCAGAGAAGGCGAGCCAGTCCTAGCACCCAGAAGGAGGCTCCCCTGCTGCCATTCCACGCTCCTAGGGCAGAGAAGGTGAGCTGCATGGGTGCCAGAAGACCCGCCCCCCTGTGGAAATGAGAAGACATGTAAACAAGCCTCAAAAACAGACTTCCAGATCACCTATAGCAACCCCAAAGGGAAACGAGATGGAACAATCTGATACTCAACCACCTGGACTCTCTGTTTTGTTTTGTTTTGTTTGGTACTGGGGATCGAACCACCTGGACACTCTGAACTGGCAACAAAAGAGGATCTGGGAAAAATGAAATCACAAATAATTACTCAGATAACAGCAAAGATTGTGCTCATAGTGAAAGACATGATTAATAAATCTAGAGAGGACACATAAAAAAATAGAGAATCTGAGGAACATGATGGAATCCCAACATAGGAAACAAATGGAATCCATAAAACAGATGCAGACAGATTTTCAGGAGATTAAAAACTCCATCGAAAGTCTGTGCAGCAGAATGAACCAACGTGAGGATAGAATTTCACATATAGAAGATAAGATTGCAATTAGTGACCAGGAAAAGAAAAATTGCTTTGCAATTGTAAGGGAAGATGAGAAATCAATCCAGCAGCTGCTAGA